TTGTCTTAAATTTTAAAGTAGTTGAAAATCTCTAAGAATGTGCACATTTATCAAAATCCCATTTTTTTTTCAATATCATTGTAGAATATTATTTTTGTTTTTAAGATGATATGCTATTCTCTATGCCTTATTTTGATTACAAAAGTAAAATATATAAAACCCTATTTTTACTTTCAAATTCATTGTAGAATATCATTTTTGTCCTGAGTCAATTATAATTGTATTGACTCGTTGAACTAAACTATCGCTCAAGTTTTATGCACTGCTATGGCTTAGCCCTAGCATCTACTCCGGCGCGATTCAGGGTGTTCCACTGCTTTCGTCCGGGTGATTCTTGCCCCCTCTTGTTAGAGGTTTCAGGGAAGCTAATATTTTACCTCTTTTTTCTGTGTTGTTTTTTTTTTTTTCCTTTTTTTCCGGTTTGGCTTCCTCGTCTCTTCCACCTCCAGTCGTTCGCAGCCAGAATCATGGTTAAACGAGTTAGTGATCCCAATTTTTGAATGGTTCCTTCAAATCACGGTCTTTTGTTGATGCCCTTTCTGGTTCTCCTTCTACTGTATGTTTTCCTGAGCTCCGGCAGTGTTCATTCCGTGGTTTACCCTTTTTGTGGATCTCGGATAAAGAAATATTGGCTCCTGTGGTTCCTTTTCAATTTGCTTTGGTTGCACTTTTTCCTTTACGCCGACCTTCTTCGGATGCAATTCGTAGATTATTTTTAAAATTGAAGCTAAATGCTGATTTCTCTATTACTGTTCTTGATCAATCACACATTCGGATTAAGTTATCTAATGATCTTGATTATAGTAGAGCATTTTTCCATAGATTCTATTTGGTGAATAATTGTTTCATGAAACTCACTAAATTATCACCTTCTTTGGATATCGGTGTTGAATCTTCAGTGATTCTAATTTGGGTATCCTTCCTCAATCTACAACTCTATCTCTTCTCTTCTTCAGATCCTTCATGCTTTGGGTTCTATGTTTGGTCGGCTCTTGAAAGTCGACAATGCCACTTTTGTTGGTTTTAGGCCATCTCTTGCGCAAGTTTTAGTAGAACTGGACATCACAAAAAATTATCCATATAAAATCTGGCTTGGGCCTGAGAATGCAGGGTATGTTCAATTGGTTCAGATGGAGGATTTTCCTTCATTATGTGTTTAATGTAAGTGTCTAGGTCATCGTAGGGCTGAGTATAACATTCACTCTTCTACCTCATTGTTTGTTCCAAAATCTAATGCTAATCCAGATTTGTTTGATGGGAATGCACACCGTAATGCAATTGTTGTTTTGGCTTCGGTTGTTAATGAGGAGCAGAATGTGGGAGGTGTTAATGATCTTGGTGTCAATGTGACTGGAACTGACCAACAGATTTCTGATGGGAATGCTTTTGCTTTTATTAGTAACAATGAGAATGCTCATTTGTTGATGCATGTCTCACCTACAACTAATGTGGTTGTTGATGCTAGAGGTGTTAATGAGGTCTTTTGTAATCATGTGGGTAATGATGTCGATGATTCGGGTTGTCTTAATGAGGGTATTTGTAACAAAATGGATAATGTGATCAATGATTCTAATGTCAATAATGAGGGTGTCATGTTGAGCCCTAACCCTTTCTTTGTTAACCTTCTCTCTACTTTGTTTCCCTATTCTATTGATGGAGATGTTGATGATGTTGTGGCGGAAGATAATGTTGTGGTAGGTTACAGTTCTGCTTCTTTGAAGCTAGTGGGCCGTGAAGCTGTGGTTCTTGATGATTCTGTCCCTATGGAGCCGGGGGACCATGAGGTTGTTCCACCTGTGCCTGAGATTGTGCATGTGATAGTGGTGAGGTTAGTAATAATTTGGATACTCCCGCTCATTTTAATACTTCCTTTTCTGATGGTTCTGATCCTATGGCTAAAACTGTTGTGCCTCTTATTGAGGTGCCAATATCAATTTTGTCAAGTGATGCTTTGCTTACTCATCTTGTTAGTAAATCAAGAGATTATGAGGTGATGCATGGTGATGGGTTAGAGAATGGATATTCCTTAGATGGTGGGGAGGAAATTATCGAGAAAGATTTGGATTCGCGGGATAATCTTGAATTAAGTATTATTTAATTTGCTGAGGATGTTGTTTCTAAAAATAGCGCTAAGCGTGACCGATGAATATCCAAAAAGAAATGATTTTCTTAATTTTGGTCTTCTGTTGGGATCTGCTTGGTTGGGAATGGCTTCTTTCTTTGGTTTGTGATTGAAGTGCTCATTTGCTACTTTGGTGGTGTTGGGGGCTTGCCTTTGCGGTTATTATTTTTTCTACGAGGCCCGGGCAATGATGTGGCGACTTTTTGTTCACCTCCTGGATGGCTGTGGCTTGATGGCAACCATTGGTGGTGGTTCCTACTGATATGTTTGGTGGTTGTTACTTGGTTACTCCTCTAGATGGTCCTTGCCTAGCTTCTGGGTGTTTGCAGAAAGCTTCCTGCCAATGATTGAGCTCGGCTAGCTTTTGCTTCCTTCTCTATTTATTGTCTCTTTTTTTATGATTGTTGTATTGTATTTTGGCTTGGTTCCTTTTTGGACTTGCTTGTATCCTTTTCTTCTTTAGAATAAATCCCTTATATATATATATATATATATATATATATATATATATTATTATATAATATATATATTATATATATATTAATAATTATATATATAATATATATATATATATATATATATATATTTATCATTTATGTATTTTGAAATGATATGTTATTCTCAATATAATATTTGATTTCAAAAATAAAACTTTTCAAATCTATGATTTACTTTCCCACAAAGACAAAAAGAAATATAGACTCCAAATGGCGTGTCTACTTTACAAGCAGATATTCCCATAGAGTTCCTCTGAACTCCTCTTGACTCATTAAGATGGCACATGATGAATCATATGAAGCCAAAATTCAACCAGAGCTAATTTCCATTTTCACTCTCATTCATTTCATTCTCAATTAGTCTTATTCTAAGATATCTTATTGCAAGCTCTAAAATTGCCTAAGGCAAGAGGCAAGGTCATTTACTTTTATTATTACTTTTTTATATGAGCTAGGCCTTAACCAAGTGGTTCATAACTCAGCCCTTCAGCCACGAGGACATGGATTTTATCCCTACTCCCCTTGAATGATTATGTTTAAAATATGTAATTGGCTTTGTTCCCGCTATCTAAAATATACTCGATAGATTCTATCTCTAAAAAATAATTAGCTTTTTATAAGCATAAGGAAATAATTTCAAAGACAATAATGGTTAAAATTAATTTAGAATTTCTTGGAAGCTCCAACTACTATTATCCACAACTTATTGAAGACAAAATCCAAGAATTTTGCAATAAAAACTTATAAAGGCTTCCACCAAACTGCAAAATACAAGAGTAATAAAAAAGCAATGTTTTCCCGCGTGAATCCACAAGGTGAGTAAATTTATATCTTCTACTCATCTGATTAATATGAGTAGGAGTAACAGGATAGTTAATATAATATGTACGATACATTTGTTATAATTAACATGTACCAGTAATGAAGCATAACAAGCTAAAATTATGATAAAAAATTTAACACTCGTAAGTCTTAACAAAATAATTTAAAAGGATGGCATGGCACCATGCAAACAAAAAATAAGAACATAACAAAGGAAGGAGAGAGAAAGAAGACAAACTAGATATATAATTTAGAAGATTAACAAAAAAATCCAACTGCAAGAACAGAGGATAAAATCAGAAACATTTAGTTATATAGATTCACCAGTAAAAAGTTAACAAATGAAATAGAAAGTTAAGTGAAAAGGGTATTTGTCCTCTTTAAAGAATAGAAGGTAAATATTAAAAAAAAAAGAAGTATAAATTATGCTACTTCTACTCTTTATAAGTCTTAAATGCAAAAAATTCTAAATTTAGAAAATTGCAGGAGATAGAAGACGTTCAGGTCAGATGCCTCAGGAGCTGAGATTCCCTTCTCCTGGTGCTAATCCTCAATTGTATATAAGAGATCACTTAATCTTTTGTTTGCTGCAATAGAGATGTTAAAAAAAACAATCTCATTAATAAGAGTACATGTTTTAGATATCTCAAATCTATTGTTCAGAGTGATGGTGAAATAGATGGGGATATCATCAGTAGAATTCAAGTTAGATGGTTGAAGTGGAGGAATGCATCGGGCTTGTTATGTGATAGAAAAGTCCCGCTCAAACTTAAGGGAAAATTCTATAAGATGGAGGTGAGACCTGCAATGCTTTATGGCGCCGAATGTTGGAAAAATTATTAGGTGCGGAGTGTGCACCGTCCGCACAAACATGGGTACCTAGCGGTACCCAGCGGTACCCAACGTTACCGAGTGCCGGTACCTAGCACGGAATAAGGCTTGTGCGGACGGTTCTCCCCGTCCGCACTCCGCACCTAATAATCTCTCCGAATGTTGGCCATTAAAAGAGAAGCATAATACTAAGTTAAGTGTTGCAGAGATGAGGATGCTCAAGTGGATGAGTGGCCTTACCTTTAGAGATAGGATATGAAATGAGCATATACGAGAAAAGATTGTAATAGCTCCAGTGGAAGATAAGATTAGAGAGAGTCGCCTTAATGATTTGGTCACATAAAACGGCGGCCTTCTGATAACCCGGTTAGGAAAGCAGAGGTATTAGTATTGACTTATGTTAAGAAAGGTAGAGGTAGACAAAAAAGATTTGGTTAGAAAATTTTAGAAATAATCTTTTTTTATTAGATTTAAATAAGAATTTGACTTTTAAGGGGACACAATGGAGAATAAAGATTCATGTAGCCGATTCCACATAGTGGGACACAAACTTGATGATGTTGTTGTTGTTGTATACTACTGTTCAAAATTTCCCATTACTTTGCCTTTATTTTACATGTCCGTCAAAAAGTTGCAGCCTAAGTCAAAAATCAAAGGTTGATGTAGGATCAACAATCAGATCTAGTGAAGGGAAATGCATGATCTTCAATTGATAAACAAAAAAATACCTTGCTTTTGTCAATCTCGCTGGCTTTTCGTTTCATGACATCCTTAGTTTCATTGATCTTGCTTTGCATGACCTGCTTGTGCAATTTCTCTTCATTACTCTCCATCTCACAATATTGTTTGACCTGAGCGACTGTTACATTTTCCTTGTGACCAAGAGAAATAGTTTCGTCAAAAGCAAAAATCAGCTCAAAAGCAGACTTGACAATACCATCCTCATCTAATGAGGGTGAATATTCAGGTATCTTTGTTGGATTAAAGAGCATAAATAAACAAGCCTCCATAATGATTGAGCATGCTCATATAAGAAGATTTCAGAAAACACTTATTTTTAAGAACTAGACGTGGTTACGTTGCAAAAAGGGACACGAGTAATAAAAAAGATGATAGCATATGCATATATCATCATGCAAAGCATAAAAAACAATATTTGTAACATGCCCAAGCATTAGTTTTCAAAGCCTAAAATTTCCAAGAGCCACAGTAGTAAAAGGATACAAGTTTGGCTAGCAGAGTTAAAGTTCCAAGATCTTCAACAATGTTGCTTTGCTTGTTGGTTACAATAAGCAAATAAAGAGCTTCAATTGACTGATAGACATAGCGAACATTTTCCGTCTCAACAAATGTATGCTGCTTTCCATCAGTGCCCACCAATTTGGGAAATGCTGCAAGAAGTCCTTCAATTCTTATGCGGGACATATCTACAAACTGCCTTGAAACAAGTGCTGCAGAAAAGATCATACAAATAGGGGTTCAGAAGCAGTGATATGCAGCCAGGTAATTAATGCACAAGGAAAGCATCTGAAAAAGTTCATTTATTATGCTAAATTTGGAAAAACTGCGGAGCATAAACAATTCCAGTAAATTCAGAATGCTAATTTGGCAGATCAATCAGACAAACAGGGAAAAAAAAATCTCTTCCAAAACGTGGCAAGAGAATTCAATAATCATTTCAGGTAATTTCGGATTAGCATTACACTAGAAGAGGGGGGGGGCGAGAGAGAGAGTGAGAGAGAGAGAGAAAGAGAAAGATAGTAACATCAAAATAAATAAGATAGCAAAAAACTTGAGCCCAAAAAGATATTAATGAGTTGCATGACCAAAGATTGAAGCAGATGGAATCTAGAGAGCCTAACCTATTAACAACGAAGATGACTAGAACGCTTAAGTTATGACAAATACATATGCACTATGTGCATTAAACTAGAAAAAGCTTACCATGCATCACAACAATATTCCACTACGTAGCCTAAACACTGAAAGTAATGGATTCAAGTATATAACAACAAACGTAACATAGAAATCTGAACTCAGGTTCAAACTCACCCTTTCCAGACTTACTTATGATAGATGCAGCAAGAACCACCTGTTAGCATTGAAGAAAATTAGTACTGAACGTAATTTCACTACAAATTTCAAATTATAATGCTTAAATAAAATAGAAGGTCACCTTAACAAGTTTAAAAATATATATATAACTCGTACTGAATAATCTCTATAAGGACAGTACACAAAAAAATTCTAATATGTCTGCATATATGATATATTTATAAATTTAGCAATTAGATATGATTTGGCTTAAATCTATTTATTACTACTGTGGTCTAATCAATATCGAAAGTTTTGGTTAAGGCCCTTGGTAAATTATGGCTCAACACAACCCTAATCACTTGCCGAAGACCTTTAATACAATATTTGATGATAGGCATACTACGAATGATATGTTAATGATACTACAGCCGTAATTAAAATCCCTAAAAAGAAATCCATACCTTCTTCAAGCATGTCAAATATTCATCGACAAAGGAAACATTTTTATTCTGGTTGGCTTAAAAGGAATGCAGTATAAAAGAAATATAGTTTAAAAGGAAAGGAATACATTGGAGTTGTTTGAATGAGTGTAAAAGGAATGAATAAGTTACTTTTTGGTTTTGGTTTGAAGTAAAATGAATGCAATGTAAAGTGCAAAGAGGATGGTGGTAGGTGACCGACATTGGCGGTGGTGATGGCCGGCGATGGTGGACGACAGTGGTGGCAGAGCGGAGGTGGGCGGAGTGGAGGTCGGCCTGCTCTGGAATGAAGTCGTAGCCGGCAATGGTGGTGGCCGACGATGACAGGCAGTGGTGGCCAGCGCCGACGATGGCCGACAATGGTCTACAGTTGCGGTCGGCGATGGAGCGCAATGTTCAAAGGCTGACATGTGATGACTATGGGCGGCGATCAGCGGCAATTGCAATGAATTTTCAATGTATTTGGAACTTACCCAAAATCGGAGAAATTTCAAATGCACCAAAAATGAATGGGGTCGGCATTTGTTTCATCAATGAAAACATCAAATACATTGCGCATAACATCAACTACCCATGTATTCAATTTCTATACATGAAGGAGACTACATAGTAAAAATTAAAACCATCTGTGAAAGCAATCAAAACAATCAAATAAAGAAAAAAAAATTAATGATTGAATAGTTATAAAAGAATTGGTACACATGGCTCAACTTGATTCCAAATTGAAAATGGGTAAATCAACTAACAATCAATAATAGAAATTTAAATCAAAGACATTCGATGGAAATTGGACGAATCCAATCATTTTTTTCTGCTTAGTGTTTGGTTTAGAAGTAAAAAAACTTAAAACATGTTTTAATTGGTTCAGCTTGGATAAAATTTTAGTAGGGATGTGAAAGGCCATTCTCCTCCAAAAAGGGGGCCCCCAAACCACAAGCATGCAAAAACAATCAATATGTACCAGCAAACTGAAACTAAAATATAGTTGACCACTACCATTTTGCCAAAGATGACCAGAGATGGGTACTGGTGATGGAATTTGAAGTTGATGTTCGTGAATCAGGCAACAACTATTATCAACAAACTAAGCACCTGTAAAGTAAATGAGCAAAGGTAAGAAAATATAACCTTTTTTCCATACAAACTTTCTCAAGATATACACAACACCCAATGGATGGTAAATGCAAATAGCACCAAACGTAAACCGGGAATAAGTATGATCTTAGAACAGATAATGAATACAAATAAGCAGGAAAATAGATCAATTAAGATGTTACTTCAACCAAACAGTACAGACCAGGAATACGCGGCATATTTTTCAAAACTCTATACATCTTACTGGCGAAAGAAAAGAATCACTTTCATTCAATCTTCTAACTACTGTCATTCAGATCTGTGCTGCCGTAAGTAGCAGTTAACGCGATCTTCTCCCATTTGCGAAAAGCACAATGGCATTCAATATTTGCAAATAAAAAAAAGAGAGAAAATTCAAAGCAGATTAGCAGATCTAGAAGCAGGAAGAGGAGGAGGAGGAGGAGGATTACGCATTAAAAAAATTATAATTAAAAAAAAAATAATCTTGCCTGGGGTTAATAAGATTCCGCGGGAACCTCGATCTTGAAGATGAAAGAAAGAGGATAGATGGGAAGAGATGAGCGAATGCTGAATATACTCTGCAGTGGCAGAGACAAAGCGAAGAACTAGCCGAGTGTAGGAATTTTTAGATCGAGCGAGAAAGGGCTATTTCTTCAAGTTGAATAACAGATTTTTTTTTTAAGGGCATTTTCTCCTCAATTGAATAAGATTTATATATATATATATAGTAACCTAGTTATAATTTGGTTAATTTTGCTCACCATCATTTCAACAAATTTAATATAGCACCATCAAAATGGACTCAATAAAATATTTTGATGAACCGCCATTAAAAATAAACTCAATAAATAATTAAAGATTATTATTATGATCAATCCAAAATTTAATAAAAAAATTTAAATCATTATGGACAAACAATATGAGGTTATAGCAATCAATAATTATATGCATATTGTACTTTCTTACATGCCGATATAGACATTTTGCAAGCATCAAATAGGCCTCTGTTAAGAGAATCAACCTAAATGGTCAAATCTATCAAGAGGAGCAATCGCCATGAAGGAAAGTGACTTTCCAACAAACTGATTAGTGTTAATCCTTAAAACCACAACCATTCTTCAAATAAGGCTATAACATGAAGACTCATCCTAGCATGCCACACTAAGGAGTGGTTTCCCTTTTCAAGTCTTCTATGAATCATTAAAACTCACTTGAGCTTCAAATGTCACTCATCTCGATAAAAATTATTTATCAACGATCATCCATCATAATCAAGGCCACTCAATCACAACAAAAACTCTTTGTCCAACTACATGAAACACAAACCTCATAGGTAACAACTATAATTTATTGTGTTAAGGAAGTCTTCAGTTCTCGATTATTTCCATCTAAGAGGGCCCATCCTTTCACTTTCAAGAGTATAAATCATATCTTAATGTCTTCACCTCCAAATCCAAAGGAGTTGCCTTCATTGACTTGCCTTATACAATGGACCTGAGGACTTGCCACCCAAGAAACTCACCTTTGAAGACTCACACAAAGGATTGGCCCCAATTTAAAGGCCATATTATAAATAGATATTCATGTAAAGGTCAATCAACTAAACCAAGTTTCTACAATAGCCTACAATGAGTTACATCATATATTGTATTTTTTTAGCATTTCTAACATTCATAGATATAGTTTTACATGTAACCCTCCAAGACCTGTAAGTAAAAGGTGAAGAGGCATCTTTCGAAGCTTTTACAGCTTTTGACATCTTTTAATATTTTCTAGATTCTATATCATTTACTTATAGTAAATATAGGACTATTCACTTGAATGAAAGAGCAAAAGGCACACCAAAGGGGGGTGAATTGGTTCTTTTAAAACTTTTTTGAATTTTGAAAATATTTTTTCTTGAAAAATGAAACTTGAAAGTTGTAGAAGCCATTAAACAAAAGAACTCAAAACAAAAAACATGATTTTTTTGTTTTTAAACTTTTAGAAAACAAATAATAATTATTTTTATTCTTTTGTTTTACTGATTTTCAAAATAAATATCAACAAAAAATAATCTCAAAAATCCTCTTTCACAAATGTAATAAAAATTAACATACATTGTCGTAAAGTAAATAGCATGAAAAGTAAGAAAATGCAAACCGAGGTTTATAATGATTAAGTAAATTTTACATATGCCCACTCCCCAAAGGTCCTCTAGTTTAGGTATTTGCACTAAATAGAGACTCTCCTACAGCACACAGTTAGGCGGAGAAGCCCTTATCTCTTTCCACAGTTAGAGAATCACCTTTATAGACTATTCACACTCAAAGAATCTCCCTCCTCTCGCCTCCTCTACCTGGCAAAGATGTTGTCCCTCCTTTCATTTACAAGCCCAACGGAGATCCCATCCCTCATTTTAGCTCCTCACTCTAGCAAAGATGTTGAAACCCTAACCTCCTCGACTAGGAGGTCTTTGGCCAAACAACTCTTATTCTTAGAGCTCCTCTCTAAGAGCTCCACTAATACAATCAAATGACCTAAGGTGTTGGCCAGTCAGAGCAACCGTGTGAAGCCCCTCACACTCCCTTGACTCCCTCAAGGCTTTTCACCCTTTCTCAACCTCACCTCCACTATCTCCCTTATGAATCTGGACTATTTTCAAGCTCTCGTATAAAAATAAAATGTTATGTGATTAACAAAAGACTTATTCTCATAAGCCCCAAAAGAGTTTATAAAGTGGGCTTCCAAAATTCCTAATTTTAAAGTAAATCGCTTCTGATCGTACAGTATGATCCTTAGTTTGTACAATATGATTAGTAGAATCGAATAAATCTAAGATGATCTAATTTGTCTAGGAGAGGTCTTTGTAAATCATCTCATACGATTAATGATCATACAATATGATCATAAATGAAGATTAGATATTATTCAATTCTTTAATCCTCAAGATTAATTAGGCAACTTAATAGAAGATCGTACAATATGAACCATTTTGTATTATAAGATTAGTTCAAAGTTTAAAAGTCAAAATTACCTAATTTAAGTAATCAGTATTCGATGGCAGGGTTTCTTGAAATAGTTGATCATCTTATATGATGTGATGGTCATACATTTTGATAAGTTATACTCAACTTTTAATTAATCTCATTTAATTAAATTAAATATTTTAATCAATTTATATTTAAGCATATCATATAATATGATCATGATTGTATAGTATGATTTACAAAGAAATTAAAATATTTTTAATCCCCCTTATGTTTGTGCATGATCGCTAAGCCACCATACACCTAATACAGAAATAGAGTCAAGAAAAGTAAAAAATATATACTCTATAATATATATACTGGCTTTTTTACTGATGCTACCATATCTTGACCTGATTCTTTGGCTTTTGCTTAGTGTATGGTGTACCTGAAATGATTAATAGCAGACAAAATAAATATTTAATATATAATGTGTGAATAAACAAAATAAACAACATATAATATTTGTAATAATTAAAACACAAGGTCAGGCTCCTGGATTGCAATAATCTCCCCCCTTTTTTATGATGGCAAATATTGTTGGTTTGTATTTGAAATTTATAATTTAGATTTTTATTCTATGTTATGCCCCACCCCCCTGGAGGCTTTTCTTGTTTTGCCCCCCCCCCCCCCCCCCCTCAATAAGTGCTTTCTTCTTTTAAAATAGGGAAAAATCTTTATTTTTTTTATTTGAATCACACAAATTTTTTTAAAGATAAAATAACACATAACAACCATACACTAAATTGAAATAGAATAAATTGTACTACTAGTAAAAATAGTATAATTACCATAATTTATAATACAACCAACAAACTTCATACTCCCTTTTTTGACATCGCCAAAAAGAGAAACTAAATGCATACTAAATTGTAGGGAAAATAAACTACTAAAATAAAAATACCTGCAAACAAGCACGAAAACAAATAATCATGCACAAAACTCAAACACTGACTAAACACAAAAACAAACAAATAATAAGCACTTATATAAATGACACAAAGTCTAGTCCAAATTGTGTTAAACGTATCAAAAAATTAGGGATTTGGTGAGAAATCTCTTGACAATATCCACATGCTATAATTCTATTTCTCTGTTATCTACATTATCCCTAATGAAGTGATGTCTAATATCAATATATTTTATGCGACAATTGCTAAATAAGATTTTGTTTTGAAATATAGATTGCACTATTATTATAACATATAATAGGGATGGTTCATATAGAGAATCCAAAATCATAGATATGTTTCTTTATCCAAAGGACTTAGGCAACTCAGTTTCCTATAGCTACATATTCAGCTTCTGTGATGGACACGGTTATGGAATTTTTCTTTCTGCTAGGTCAAGAAACTAAAGATTATCCTATAAATTGATAAGTTCATGATTCTTTTTCTTATCTACCCAACATCTAGCAAAATTCAAATATGAGTATCCAACTAAGTCAGATGTTTAGCCATTCTTAGAATATCTCAGTTTTGTGTGCTAATGATATATCTCAAAATTATTTTAAAAAAGATCATATGAGATTCTTAGGGCTAGTTTAAAATCAAGTACATAAGAATACACTAAATATAATATTAAGCTTACTAGCACTCACGTAAAGGAATTTATAACCCCTCTATATTTTTTAATGAACATATTTTCCATCTAAATCCTTATCTAATTAGGTGGTCAGGCTCATCGGAGTATTCATATTTTTACAACCATCCATATCAAATTTCTTTAATTTTTTCTTTAATATGTTTTGTTTGGCTTAAGAATGTTCCATCATCTCTTTATTTAAAATTAAAACCTAGAAAATATATTAACTTACCCATCATGCTCATCTCAAATTCACTACTCATAGTGGCAAAAAGTTTCTTGCATAAATCATCATTTATGGATCCAAAAAGTATATCATTAATATAAATTTAGACTCTGTACTACTTTAGAATTTTGGAGGCTTGCTATCTGCTGGGTCTCCTTTTCGTGTGGTTGGTGGATGTTTGGATTATTCTTTCTTGTTGTATTTTTAGAGGCTTTGGCTGCAATGAGTTATGTGACGTTGTCAGGTTTTTTATCCTTTTATTCCTTTGTTATTTTTTTGGATGTATTTGACTTATATTTCTCCTGCTGGCTGAACATCTTTGGTGTTCTGAGATGTCTTCCCGTATGCATCTTTGGGTGCCATGTTTCATTTATGCTGCTAGTCTTTGTGTTCTTATTTTGTCCCATTCTCTCCTTTCTTGGAGTGATACCTGGAGCCCTTGCATTGATGTCGGGTTGGATAATCTTTTTGTGGGGACTTGGTATTAGCTTTCTCATCTCTTGGGTACCTGGTATTTCACTCACACCATGTTGTTGTTTTCTTCTTTGGTTGATCTTTGGCCTAGTTTCTTAGTGGAGGAGAAAATGGATTATCCTCTGTATTTTAATTTTGTTCATGATATCTTCAATTTTGTGGAGGATGAGGTCTGCTGGGATTATTACCCTGATGATTTTGGGACTTATTGTTTTATTGTCTGCTTACATATTATAATTTGTTTCAATAATAGTTTTTTGAATTATCATCTTGCTAGATATTACTGTTCTTTGTACTATTTTTCCTGTAGATGTTATTTGTTTTTGTAGGTTCTTATTAGTGCTAGTATTTGTGCTTATGGGATTTTTGATGGGAAGATGTTATTCCAAGCTATTTTTT